TGCTCAACCAGAATGTTGAAATGCTATCTTTAACACTTTCTTAGTTTCCAAAAGTATTGCAACCTATATCTTTACTCTCTTGCTAAATGCTCATACAATTTCCTGTTGTCCTAAACTACAAGGCTACAGCTTGCTTCTGAGACTCATCTATACTTTGTCCTTTGGAGCTGTCCTTTGGCCATACAGGATCTCCTTTGTCTGATGCTTCAAATTTATTCCGGGGTGGCTTCATGCTAACTCTGCACATACTATCCCACTGCTGGATGTTTGGCCTCTCTGCCATGCTTTTAAAATGTTTTATTAGCATACATTAGTCATATATGACAGAGGGTTTCATTATGACATTTTCATACATGTACATAATGTGTTTCAGTTATGCTCACCCTCCCTCTTGTTCCTATCCCTTTCCCATGGATCCTGCACTCTTCCCAACTAATTCCTGTCTACTTTTTCTTTTTTGTAACCCAGAGTCATTAGGGCTGTTTACAGAAGCACAGATATAAACACATTGAGGACATAAACACCAATTTCACTAACAACTTGTTCATATTTTCCCACTTTCCTCCTTGGTTGTTTTTCCAATGGTTTGCAAGAACTTTGTGTTGAAAACCCCTCAATTTACATATCCCATGCATCATTCTGATCTTGTTATGACTTTAACATTTTCCCACCTAAAGTTTTATGTTTTTTAATGTGTGTGTGTGTGTGTGTGTGTGTGTGTGTGTGTGTGTGTGTGTGTATGCACCAGTACAGATCTGGAGCTCAGAGGAAAATCCACTGGAGTCAGTTCTCTCCCCTGCTATGGAGTCCTGGGGATTAAACCCAGGTAGATCACCCCACTTGGCAGTAAGAACCTGTTGAACCCATTCTTGCCAGGCCAAAATATGTAGCTTTTTAGATTTTTTTAGATTTTTAAAGCAATTCTTAGAAAGATTTCCCCATTCCAAGCATCTGTCTCCCCCATATGCGTGTGTTTACTCTCTCTCTCTCTCTCTATATATATATATATATATGTATATATATATATATACACACACACACATACATATATATACACACACACATATATATATATACACACACACATATATATATTACATATATATCTCTTACACTTTTTATAATTTAGTTTTTTTTTTTTACCCTGAAACCATCTAGAATATATTTTTATATAAGAAGTGAGATGGGGAACCCAGATTTTCATTCTGACTCTCCCTTTTCCAAAGTAGGAAGTCCATTATTCCAAAACCATTGCTGACAGCTATTTGTCATACATTTTCTTTTCTTTTTCCTGTGTTGGTGATGAAGCTAGGACCATGTAGATTACATAAGTGCTCTACACCAAGCTACATCCCCAGCCATGCCTACTTTGAAAAGTCACCTTTATCATGTATTCAATTTGCATATCTGCCTGTCTTATTTAGGGTTTCTACTGCTGTGAAGAGACACCATGCCCGCAGCACCTTTATAAAGGAAAAGGTTTAATTGAGGTGGAGGCTTTACAGTTCAGAGGTTCCGTCCACTATCATTATCATCATGGCAGGGAGCATGGTGGATTACAGGCAGACCTGATGCTGGCTACATCTTGATCAAAAGGCAACAGGAAATAGGCTGTCCCATTGGGTGTGGCTTGAGCATATATGAGACTTCAAAGCCCGCCTTCACTCTTCCTCCAACAAGGCCACACCTCCCAACAATGCTGCTCCCTATGGGGGCCATTTTCTTTCAAACCACCACACTGCCATATTTATGGACTCAACCCTTTCCTTTGATGTATCTACTTTTATACTGGTACTGCTTCAATTACTAGACAGAAAATATTTCCCTATATGATACTGCTAGTCTTTTAAATTGTCTGGCCATTCATGCATGCTTTTCTTTTCAAAATAACTTTCACTGTAACAAAGAGAGGCACAGGTAGCTTGAAACGTGGAAATATTCTGCACTATTCTATTCTGCCCTGTAGTTGCCCATAGCCCTCTCCTGGAATAGTCTCGATTACTGTACCTGGAACTTCAGTGATTTGAGGACACACCATATTTCTAATTTTTGATGTATCTGGTGTTACCTACTCTATGATTCATTTTTATTATATCAGCCTTTTACATTTTAAGTACTTAAATTAAGCTGACCCAAACAGTCATGTAAAACCATGAATTAGATGTAGTATTTGTGTTTTCCTAGCTTATTGTACTGAATAGATTGGCAATGGACGAAGCATTGCCCATGTGTTTGTTCAGTTTGTGTGCTACCAGCACCCTGAGCAAACTGGTCAGTACCAACTGCTCCCGTCAGCTCCACAGACAGAATCCTTCCCGTAGCACACACCACCCACTGCACTCAAGGAAGATTCTGGTTGCACAGGTGGGTTCAGCTGTGAGAGTTACTGAGACATTCACATATAGGATATATGAACTTTTGTGTGTTACTGTGACCCAATACGACATTAAAAAAAAAAAAAAAAAAAGAAGAACCTTTACAAGTTTAGAAAGAATTGCTGCTTTGGCACTGTTTTGAAATTACTGATAAAGGATCGGTCACATGTTTCCTGAAGGAACTCATTGAGGCTTGGCTATAACTCAGTAGGGGAGTGCAGGCTGAGCAAGTGCGAGGTCCTGGGTTTCAACTCTGAGCATGAGTCATTAGGAAAAAAAGACTAATGACCTGAGCACAGGACAGGCACCTCAGATCCAGCCAGCACTTCTCATCTTCAGGATTTGATGCTTCTGGAACAAAGTGACCATCGCAAAAGCTCTGTGGGTCTGGACAACATCACAGATGATATCGTAAGTCCCCTCACAGTGTTCATGAGCTGATAAGAAGTCATGAACTTACCCCTCAGTGCTGAAACAGGCAAAACGGCTGCAGTATTCTTATCTTAGTCTTTATTAAAGGTTCACAGAGATAAATGGAAAATACCACTCTATCCTCACAGAGATCTAATTAAGGGGCAGAAGCACAGGGAATCAAATATCTTGTACTGGCCTGTCACAAACACTTACTCAGACTTAAGTGGACACACACCGTACCCTATGCTACCCAGGGCAACCCTGGCTTTTACTCTTCCTCACTATGCACTGTCAGAGGTTTCCTCTTGCTGAACGCCTTCAGTACTGACCTCAGTGAAGCTTGACATTCTTTGATATTAAAATCTTCCTTCAAAATAGAAGCCACTACTTCCCAACAGGAAGATTCAAATAGCTTGTTTGCTGCCCTTTAAAAAAATAAGCATAGAATAACCCAATGTCTGTCCATCCCCCCTCTGAATAACCCAGTGTCCGTGTCCCCCACTCCCCGTACTCCCCCAACCCCTGTTGATAGCCATGGAGACAAATTGTGAATCTCCCTGTGTCTGGATAATTTTCACCGTTCTTCAAGGGTGTCTACTGATATGCTTCAGTGCTTCAAGTTAAAACAATAAAACCAGCAACCTTCACATCTAACCTGCAGGTGTGGGTTTGAAACTGCATCCATTTCATGATTATTGGATGGAGAGTTGAACGGGAGAGAGCAGTAGATGACTGCTCGTGAGAGCGAAAGCTAGAGCCCCATTTGTGAGCACCTCTCAAGGTCCTATTCACTTGATTTCCTACTGTGTGGGACCTCCTCCAGGTGTGCCTCCACTTTCCCATGTGGGAGTGTTGCACCTCGGACCCTCCCTGACCTGGAAGCCTGTTCACACCACTTCTTTTTAGGCCTCTTTCCATTCAAGAGTCCCCAGGAGACTCTGCAATGTACCGACTTTTAGTGTGCGCTTGTCGGCTGCCCCATCGGCATAATCCACTTTCTGAAAAGCTTTGGAGTCTTATGCCAATTAAACTTCACCTCAAGTTTTTCAAAATTCTCAGTGCACAGAGTTGCCAGCTTTGGCTATTCCTCCAAATGAGGGAAATAAGCCTTTCTACTGATGTAATTCGCTTGAAGAACTCTATGAGGCTTCCAATTACTGTCTCAGAGTTCCTGGTGCCAGCTGACGTAATTCTCAAACTGGGGCTCAGGACGCAACCTGCAGAGTGGAGCATCTGCCAGTGCAAGCCGGAAGTAGCTATTTAAAGAGCTCCCTGTCAGGGTGTGCGCCTGGCCTCTGGGCAGGTGACAGCAGAGCCCTGCTCTGGGCAAGCATTTGCACTGGAGCTCGGTGCTGGAGGCACCACCAGGGCAGGAATGAGGGGCAACCTTTCAGAGAGTGACAGAGGGTGCTGGCAGTGGACAGACAGCAAAACTTACAGGAGAAGGAAAAGCTGCCTGGGCAAAGCGTTCCTTATTGCCCTTAAGCACAAATGGTCAAAGCCACACAGTGCCACCCTTACAAGTCGGACCTGAGTGGGTGGTCCAGCGCTGCCCCCTTGCCTTCTACGATGCAGCCCAGAGGAGCTGAAGAGGCCCTTTCACGTGTGGCCATCAGCTTTGCAGATGGTCCAAGTGTCCCTTCCCCACTGCTGACATAACACAGGGAGTTCTGGCTTTGGAGAGGAGCAAAGGGTATGATTAAGATGTGATGCGGTATCTGGAATTGTTTTTAAGTTTTTGCATTGCTTCAGGCCAATCAATTGGTCCCCATTTATGGCTCTGGATAAATGTTACGCTTGATTCAGCACAGAAATGTGTTTCCTCAAAACACTCATCTCCAGAAGGCTGCTCTCTGAGGCTTGTTCTCCCAGGAGTACACTGAGTCAAGGATACAGATATAAAGGTTTATTAAGAAAAGACCCCAGAGACACCAGGAGGTGAGTGGGAGGAGGGATGAACCAAGCAAGGAAGTGATTTCCTGCCAAAGTCCCAGTCCTGGCCTGGATCCCTGGAGAGTGCTCTGGAACACTCTGGACTAAGGCAAGGAACTGGGCAGGGGCTTAACCTTAGTTGAGTCAGTAGCAGCCTTGGCCAAGGTAAGTGGTGGGGTGGCACACCTATAGGCTTACTGGCTCCATAACCAGGTTTCTGGTGCCAGCCTCAACCCGGCTGTCCAGAGGACCTCCCCCCCCCCCAATGGACTCTGAGGGCCAAGCTGGCGCACTTCCCCTCCAGCATTGCTGACTTTCGCACCAGCACCAGCTACAAGTCTTTCATTACTGGCTGCTCCAAGAGGAAACGAATGATCTCTCTTGACAGCCCTGGGGTGGGCTCTTGGTCCTCTACAGAGTTGCCTCCTTGCTCCAGAGGGTAGAAGCGGGTTCCCCTGGAATGCTGCTTTAAAATAGAGCAGCCATCCCGGTTGAAGATGACCCGCGCCATCTGGAAACTGCGGAGAGCGTACTTTTGGCTCTCTTGGCCCTCAAGTTCAGAGATCATCTGAGACAGGCACTGACACACAGGGGCAGAGAGCGGATCCCCGGAGCCTGGCAGTGGATCGGCAAATGCTTCATAGAATCTGTCCAGTGAGTTCCGAAGGCCATCCTCGTCTTCACTGGTCTCCAGCTGGCCTTTCCCAGAAGGCTCAAGCCAGAAGTTCTCAGAGTCCCAGGAGCCTTCCTTTTGCTCAGTGTTTAGAGAACTGCTATCTGCAAGACAAAACATAATCAGTACTCAAACAGGCAGTCAAAACCATCAGAAAGTGGGCTAGTGAGGAGGATCAGTGGGTAAAGGTGTTTTGCTACACAACTGACCTGAGGTGGATCTCCAGAACCAAAGTCAAGATGGAAGGAGACACCTGGTTCCTGTAAGTGGTTCTCTGACCTCCACATGTGCATGGTGGCATGCCCTCCCAACATCATGCACACACACAATAATGGTGACTTTTTAAGACCAGAAAGCATACCAACAGCACAAAAGCCTCTCTTCAGCTCGACACTCTACTACTCTCAAGATACTGATGATAGCATTTCCCATCGTCCTCAGGTTACGCCAAACGTGGACCAGGAGTTCCTTATTTTTCTTTTATGTGTATGGGAGTTTTGCCTGTGCACCACCAGTATTCAGTGACTAAAGAGGCCAGAGGAGGGTGTCAGATCCCTAGGACGGACTAGAGTGTGGTGGTTTGAATGAAACTCTCAGATACCTCTCTGGCACCATGCCTGCCTGTGTGCAGCCATGTTTCCCACCATGATGAGAATGAACTAAATCTCTGAACTTGTAAGCCAGTCCCAGCTAAATGTTTCCCTTTATAAGCCATGGTGTCCCTTCATAGCAATAGAAACCCTAACTAAGACATGGAGTTACAGATGGTTATGAGCTGCCATGTGGGTGCTGAAAACGGAACCTGAGTCCTCTGGAAAACCCAGTATTACTGTTTAATCCACCTAATTATGGCATTTCCTATCAGCCTGAATAGGGCAAGACACAGTACTTTGACATTACCAGCTATCAATCCCAATACTAGATGTTATCTATGCATTTATTTAAAAGTATATGTCACCATTCATTTGTTCTTTTATAAATGCTTATGTAGTAGCTGTTGGGAGTCAGAGAACAACCTACAGAAGTTGGTTTTTCTCCTTCTACCATGTGGGACCCAGGGATTGAACCCAGGTTGTCAGGCTTGGTTACAAGTTTTCTTTCCTATTAGTGAATTCAAGGAAAAATCACGCACAAACAACTCTCTGTATCATGTGCTCCTTAATCACAGCAAGAAGGGAGGGAGGAAGGGAGACAAAAGTACAAAGCTAAGGAAATGTCCCTTCCCTCTGCTAGGGCCAGAGCTTTGGCCCTCCCTGAGTTCCTCCCAGCAACCTTATCCCTGGGCAGGAGGATAGAAAAGGAGGGAGGCAGCTGCTAGCCTTTCTAGTCCAGATGTCAGAGGAACACAGGGGGACAACCTTGCACCTTGTATTCTTTGTAAGTGCTGAGTTTATGTGAACCAACAAAAGACTGCTATCTACTGGAGATGAGCCAACTAACAGCACAGGAGACTTAGAACTGGATCTTTGTGACATAAAGGACAACTGAGCTTTGTGAATGAGGGATGTGGGTTTAGATGGTATTAGAGTATGGCTGCCAACTTCCTGATAATGACAGCTTGATTTTATCATGTAGGAGAATGTCTCAGTGTGTAGGATAATTAGGAGTGATGGACATCATGTTAGAGTTTACTCTCAAATAATTCATCAGGGCTAGGGATGTAGCTTAGTTGATAGAGCACTTGCCTAGCATGTACAAAGCCCTGGATTCTGTCTTCCATCACCCTAGTCTGATGGTACACCTATGTAACCCCAACATTTAGAGGTGGAGGCAAAAAAGGTAAGAAGTTCAAGGTCATCCTCAGCTTCACAGTTGGTTTGAGGCCAGGCTGGAATATGAGAAACCCCATCTTAGAAAAATCAAAACCATAACAATAACAACAAAAATAAAACAAATAAGAATTTCCCAACATAAATAATACATTGCAAAAGTTCTGTGTATTGTATTTGCTGATGGTGAGTTTGAGACTGTGACAAAAAAGTTCTAAAGCAAACCTTGAGAAGAAACTGCTAATACTTCCTACTTTAAACAAAAATAAATAAATAAATAAAAGCCCAGATATTAGCAAGTAAATGTCCTATAGATGGTTTTGCTATTAAAAACCAGAGAAGGGAGAGGTGGGAGCCACAATGGCAGAATGCGGGGTCTCTTGATGTTTTCCCCTACAGATAATCCTGCTGCTCAATGGGAAAGCAGAAGATGCAGAGAAGGGTTGGTGGGAAGGATGGCAGAGAAAGGAGAGTCCCAGAAAGCATTGGGGAAGCTAAGAAATTCCTGAAACTTCCCTCCTGAGGTTTCACACCCAGAGCTCCAAGAATATGGCATGTCCTTTCAACAGCTGCCCAATATACCCAGACACACAGGGTTCATGTTTTCATGTGCATTTTATTTTACTATTAGTTACACGTATGGGTGTTTTGTTTGCATGTACCGTATGCTTACTTGTGTGTGTTTGGTGGCTGATGAGGTCAGCAGGCATTGAAAACCCTGGATCTGGAGTTACAGATGCATGTGGGTGCTGGGAACTGAACCTGGGTCTTCTCCAGCCTGGTACTATGAGGTGTCTACAAAAGAGCCTAAAAACTGGCTCACACCCTATTGTAATGGGTAGTTTTTCCTGCCACTGGTCCCACCGCCACACCAGCCCCAATTAACACACTGAGACTCTGCATTTGATATAATTCTGTTGGCCAGTTACTTGTTTCTTATCAGCAAGCTCTGTCTTAAGTATTAACCCATTTCTATTAATCTAAGTACTTCCACGTGGTCTCATCTTACCAGAGAGAGGGGGCTGGTGGTTCTGCTCTCTCCAGTCTCTACATGTTGACTCCTACTACTACTAATATGTTTCTCATACTGGTTAATTAATAAAGCACTGTTGGCCAATAGGAAAGCAAGATAGGTGGGACTAGGAGACAAGGAGGAAAGAGGAAGTAATAGGGGTGGTGTAGCTATGGGACTGATGGGGGGGCATACTCGTTACACCTGTGATTTTTATGCAAATGTGAAGCAGACTACAACGAAGACATATGGCCTGAGTATATTCTGCTTGTCGGTTCTGTGAATATTGCCTCCAGGCCTTTCAGTCTCCAATTCTCTTTCAAACGTGCTTTGCTGCAACCACATACCCTTCTCTCTCATCATGCAGCTGCTATGGCTGCTATGGCCTTCGGGATGCCACTGACTCCTTGGCAGCAAGTGAAGCTGTTACTCCTGCTCTCCTGATGCCCTGCTTGTGGGACAACAGTGGATCTTCATAGCTCCACTCATCCACCTTTACCCTTATGTTCAAGCGCCACCTCAGTCCACTTGTGTATATAGTACAGATTTATAGGGCTCTCAATCGGAGCAGTGATGTCTGCTCTGCAAAGAGTCTGGGATGCAATTACAAAATGTTACTTATATGAAATGGCTACATCTATATTATTTAAATATAATATTTAGCCATATTACATCTAACTCTGATTCCAAGTGGGGTTAAGGATATAAACACCCTACAGTGTATCGGACAGTCCCGTATGACAAAGATGCCAGTGACATCCCCAGTAGCCTGCTCCTTCCAGAACAGGTGTATTAGATCCAAGAATGGATTGTGGGATGAATGGACCCACTGCACAACAGCATGTTGATTTGCCTTGAGCACCCATGGTACCTTAATTATGAATCGCCCTTTCTGTTGGTACTCAGTCACATGGCAAATTTTCCTTTCTCAGACAGTGAGCTAGTGATTTTTACTATCGTTGTTAGTCTTAGCACAAACAAATGACTCTGTACTATTTAAATAAAGTGGAACTTTTCTTATTTTAAAAATTATATTTAATTAGGGGTGTGTGTGTGTGTGTGTGTGTGTGTGTGTGCAAGAAGGGACTGAACACACTCTCTCCATGGATAACAACATCATTTGAAGTATATTAGAAGCTACTGCCTGAAAATGAGGGGCCCTGCCCTATTGTGCTACACCTCTCTGTTCTGAGCCTTGGACCTTTCTCTTTTCTTTGTTCCTCTTACTAGCCATTTCCTGGAGGCGTGACCAGGATCACTGAATGAATGAAACTTGGTGCTTTCTGCAGCCAAGCCCTACAAACCCTGAGGGAAGGTCTGATGGGTGCTCACCCCTGTCTGCAGCACTACCTGGCTTCTTTGGAGGCCCTGGCCACATCCACTGAGCTCATCCTTAAGAGCCCTGCATGTGTGGTCCCTCTGCATGTGAGTCGGTCCATTTGTTCATTACTTAAAGGCAGCTACAAACATCTACCTACTATAGCAAGTTTCACCTTCCACAGTTCTACCTCCAGCCAATAGATGATTCAACATTTACATTTCTCAATGGATTTAACAACACTCATGGTCTAATTTTCTCTGGAATGTCCTCACAGTCACACTCAGAGGTGTCTTTCGTTAAAGAGGTGCACTTTACTATTGTGGTTTGAAAAAGAAATGCTCATATATTTAAACACCTGATCCCCAGTTGGTAGCACTGTTCTTGGAGATTATGGAACTTTTAGGGGGTGGAGCCTTCTGAGATGGTGTAAGAATTATCAGTTTTAAATCAAAGGCAGTTAGCCTGGCAAGAACAAATTTATTGTACCCAAACCTTCCTCTCCCCCTGTGTATCTATAACAATCACAACAGATTGTGATATCAAACTCCTGCCAATGGGAGGAGGCAGTCACTGCCTATTTTGTATGTGTGTGGGATGGGGGAGGAGGTGGGAAGTCTCTGTGACCACCATGGCCAGCATGGAGCGATCTGTGGGAGGCAAGACAGTAGCTCTGGTCAACATGACTCAGGTGGTGTTGGCTCAAACTTCAAGATTCTGACCTCTGTTCATCATGACTCAGTAGCTGGTGTTGTCTCAAACTGCAAGAGTCTGACCTCGAGTAATTTATTTTAGACATATTTAAGCACTGCACAATTTGGAAAAAAAGGTTTTCTGGTGATAACTGACTCGTCCCATGTGCACAACAAAGCTTAAGACATGACTACACTGAAACTCTTTGTAAAGTGCAAGTGGCATCTCCCATAAAGACAGGTCCTGTAAATTGAGAAGGCAGGCTCCAGTCAAGGGTCTGGGGAGGGTCCAGTGTGGTTTGGCCACACAGAT